AGCCAAGCCAATAGAGCGATAGACTACCTATGACTATGGACTACGTATGGACTATGGACATGCATGCATAATCCTGTATAACATGTGCCGACGGGAACAATAACAGCATCCCATGGCAAGGCCGGAAAAAAATTTTCCAGCTTGTCCAGTCCTCTGTACCTAGGTACCCTATTCCTAGGTAACATGGATGGAGATCCGTAGCTAGACGGCACCTCGAACCATGGATCAAATCAACCATGGATCATACCTAGTTTCTAGAAAGAATCTTTGAAGAAATTTTTTTTTACTCTGTACTTCTTTCTTCTTCTCTCTGGCAACCAACCAGTAAGATGATTAGTTAGAAAAAAATTGATTTTTTTTTGCTGGTTGAACTTGACTTTGCTACTGCTAACCGTGGTAGCACTCCGTAAGGGTCTAAGGGTCTGTCTGCTGTCAGTGTAAGAAACTCAGAGGCATGATTTGCCACTCCCGGATATCGAGCCGATAAAGAGTACTCCGTCCTCCGTACGCAGTAATATCTGGAAGATTATTATTATTATTATTACTTCCACGGCAGTGATCAAGTCTACTTTTTGGACACACTGTACCTAGGTAGATTGACAAGTTGCGTAGTTAGTCGTAGTTTCAGCACGAATACTCGTACTCCGTACGAGTGTGGTACTACACCCCGTACTCGCACTACTTAACCCCTTGAGTAATCTGTATACTGATTACCTAACTCAGACTGCTTGCTAGCGACAACCAAGTCACGCGAGCGCCTGGGAAAATTACCTAGTTCAGTTGGTACAACCCCTCAGGGGACCTAGTCGGGGCTACGTACCCCTCGGGCTACCCCTCGGATAATAGGCACATAACTGGCATAACAAACAAATCAAATATTATTCCTGCTGCGACGCTCGGTAAGAATTATGCCAGCCTGGCCAGCGGCCAGCCAGTCTCCTCCTGCTGATTATTATTATTGTTTGCATAAGGGGCGTACGGTCCGCGCGTCGGGCCCGCTGTGCAGCAGCAGCAGCAGGATTTTCCGCGCTAGGCCGTTTTCGGAGGTGGGTTAGACATGGAAGCGCGCCAACGGCGGCTGTGCGAGGGAAATAAAAAATATCAGTCACAGTCTGGAACAGAATACTATTTTCTTGTCTGGTATTATTAAATAGCACAGACTGTATGAGTATCTCTGAGTACTCTACTCCGTACCCTGTACTGTACTTTCTGTGATAACACTCTCGTCGTAGCGGTGGACCTTACGGCAACGCATTATTATTTTGATGTAATCAGCTTATCAGCCCGCCTGCGAACCCACATGATAGTTATAATTATTGACGATCTACTCCGAAGTTCTAGTGGCGGATTCCCGGCCTGAGGCTACCTAGACGCTAGAGTCTGGTTGCTGCCGCGGCCCACGGCGCACGATGGAGCCCTCATTTTCGAGACGCTTCGCTTGCAGCCAAACAGCGCCAGGAACGGCAATTGAAACAGTCGTCCCAGAGTCCCCACTTGGCCACGACGGGATTCACGAGTGACCAAGCACACTCACCGAGATCCGTAATATTTATTATGCTTCCAGAATAATAATTTTTCCTGCCGGGTGTCACGAAGCGGAAAGCGTTGTCGACGACGATGCTTGCTTGCTTGCTTGCTTGTTCCCCTGGCGAGAGAACGCGCTTTGACAGTTCATGCTGTCGACATTTTTCCCCAGGACTGGGATGCGTACGATCGATCATGACGTCAAGATAATAGCCCCAATAGCGACCCTCCTTGCCTTTCCAGGCAACGAGCATAATTTTCGACCTGCGCACGGGGCTCAGAGGGGTGGGAGCGTCCGACCGTCGCGGCGTCGCCCTGACCGGCGGCCACGGAGCTTCCGCGGAGAGTACAGTACAGAGTACAGAGTACATGGCCTCCGTACTCCAGAATACTGGGCGAGTCAGTTGCCAGAACAGGAACCCGCTGTGCCTGGCCCCATGGCCCAGCTGGCTGCTGGCTGCTCGCCCAAGAGGGAAGCTGATGCAGATTGCGACCTGTGACCTGCGACCTTCCAGAGAAGGGCTCGGTGAGCAGCAGTAGAGAGTAGAGTATGGAGTACGTACTCCGTACGGAGTAATGCTGTATCTACTACAGACAGTACTCTGTAGATGCTGAATCTGAATTCTGACTGTAGAAACCACGCCAAGGATGCCGTATCCCAAATCAAGATTCAAGACAGATGTCACTGTAGCATCTACAACTCCGTACAGATGGAATATTCCATCGAGGATCTATATCCAGCTTGATATCGTCCAGCAGACAGGATAATAAATCAACTGCTATACGGAGCAGTCATCATCATGTCTGTATTGTCCTGTTCTGCTGTCCATTTCCACCAGTGGCACCTTGCCTGCAGGCCGGCTGGAGCGAACCTTATTATATGACCACTGCTGAATTGTATCCTGCCTCTTCGGCCCTGTCTTGATTAGGCCACGTTGTAACTCCTACGGAGCCCGATTGCTGCCGTCACCGTGCCGTCCTCTTCGGCATCCGCGTCCAGACCACCAGACCGCGGAACGGCAAGTCGGGCGGCATCGCCCCGATGACCAGCCCGTGTCCAGTGTCCACAGATACCAGTCCTGAGTCGACGCAAAACCCGGAATGCCTATCCTAGTTTGTCCCGTGGTATCAATGCCATGACAATAATAATTGTCTCATCAGGCTGCTTTCCCCCACGGACGATCAATCGTTGTAGTCCGTAGGCAACTATCGTCTGGACGTGTAAGGGTCACCGCATCGTTGTTCGTCAGGGCAGCAGCTGAGCAACATGATCACTTTCACTGATCACACGCTTTGATGGGGGCCGCTGGCTGCTGGCCGCTGGCCGCTGCAGAAGCACGGGCGCATCCCCAGACGCCGTGATGATGACGAGCAGGCTGGGCAGGCCGCCGGGCGACCGTTGGCAGATCACAGCCTGGGCGGACGTCACTGCACGAAGACAAAAAATAATAATCGCTTCCACCAAGAATGAAGACAGTAATCATTATCTACTCCGTACAAGAATTACAGAATACAGGCTCTACGCAGTGCTCTGATCTGTCTGATTATGCAATTTGTCCAGGCTTATCGCGATAAATACCGCAGGTCGGAGGGGCTCCGATCGATGCGAATTCACTTACGGAGTATTCGTAATTTGTATATACCGAGTGAGGCGAATATTCGATCGTGCATCTGCGTCCGTCGATCATCGCCTTCTGGGCCTTCCTTTCTGCGAGATTTTCCAGATAGGTCCTGATGATACGGTCGCGAAACGCGCAGCCCAGCCATCCCACGATGGGACAGCTGCAGGAGCTTCCCCAGATAGCAGAGCTAAAACGGAGGTCATAGAGAGAGCTCCGATCATCTAGAATGACTGCTGCTGCACGCTCTCGTTGGCTGCTGCGGCCGCCACGTTCACGACGAGCGTCCTCTAGCCCCGACAGGCAGCCAGTCAGCGCGCGCCGGAGAATCCACTGAGGTTTAGTAATGGTTCTAGTCAGCTAGCGGAAGCATCGAAACAAATGCCATGCCTGATGTATGCTTAGTCGGGGGAGTCCCTATCGTAATCGACGAACCGCACGCACGACGCTGACGGCCACCCCGGCTTGACCCGGTCGCATCGACTTGATTTGAGTATTGATCGTCTCCCCCATCTGAATCAGCAGGCGTATTGCTGTGTAATGAGCATTATTGCACGGTCGAACCGGTTAAGACGTGCAACCGGGACCGGGTCAGGAGCTGGAACCTGTAAAAGTGAAAAACTGACAGAGTACGGAGTCAGCTGGCTGGACAGAGGACTCCGGAGTAGGGATCGCATGGGGAACAAAACTTGGCCCGCCAGCAGCAGGCATGCGGTTCAGCCTTGGCGGACTCGTCGACTGGACGGATTTGGAATCGGGAGGGAGATCTGAGATGGCACAGATGGCAGCGAAGGAAGCAGCTCTATTTTGTAGCTTTGTTCCCCGTGGAGAGCGATGCTGAGGACGAAGATCACGGTGATTCAAGGATAATAATAGGCACGGCTGTCTGATCTGTGCTGTCGCATGGAGGCCAAGTGCAGCTGCCCGGCGGCCGCCCCTTACGTTACCTCGCAGCACGAGCAGCGGCGGTGGCAAGGCGGCATCACGGGAGCAGAACTGCCAGAAACAGGCGTGCTTCAGCCGCAGAAGACCTGCATAAACGTGCGAGCAACGCACAGTGATGATGATGATATTCACGACTTGACGAGCAGCGCGTCTGTTGCCTCTCAGAGGGGACCTCTTTTTTCGTACCGCTGGGCCGTTGCCGGTGGCCCGCTCCGGGGGGAACACGCTCGCCAATCGCCTCGGAGAAACGAAAAATCGCGCATCCAAACACGCTAAATCGCTTCCACTTGGGACGCCCCGGATGGAGAGTAGATGGAGACGAGAGGGGCGAATCGGCACGCTGTGCCGGCTGGACGAATCCTGCAGTTGATGCTGGACGGAGTAGTATTCATATGGTGTTCTACGGAGTATTGCGTTATTCTAGTCTATGATACTGTACTATGCTGAGGCTGTCCAGGCTGTTCGGCCCGGACGGCGAGAGCAGTCGAGCTGTAGAGGAGAGCTACCTAGTACCTATCGATCCGGCTGTGTATACTCTGTTCAGGCATTCTCTACTCCGGAGTACTCTGTAGAAAGCGGCGACAAGAAAATTCTTTCGCCGACGGGGCGAGTCGCCCGAAACGGCATCGCGCGGCGCCGTATTCGGAAAGCCGGGCCAGGCCCGATCGGGCAAGCGCGCGGACTGCAAAACAAACGCAAAAAACCAAAAAAAACGCCCGCCCAAAGCAGCAAGGCCGTCCACGCCCCATCTGGTTAAATAGACCTGCGCCGCCCGCCTCTGCCTCCCTCTCTCTCCTTCTCCTCTCCCATAGGAATTCCATCCCCTCGCCATTCTGCCTGTGTGTCCCGTCCGCTCAATCGCTCCTTCAGTGGGTTCCCACACGCTGGTGAGCCTTCGCACCAACAGCAACAATGGCGGAGCGGAGGATCTCCTATGCTCCCGACGTGGAGAATGGCGACCACCCACGCAATGCCCCCGACATCAACGACTCGACCGCCCAGCTGGACGAGTACACTGCCCTGAACCGCTACATCTCGACCGCCCGTGAGCGCCGCCGCGGCTCGACCTCCTCTGCCGGCGAGGCCTACGACAATGCCAAGTCCAAGGGCAAGCCCTGGTGGGCGTTCTGGCGCTCTGCCGGCGACGGCTTTGGCGGCGAGGGCCAGTTCGTCGCCCCCGACGAGTGGCTCGACACCGACATCCGCGCCGGTCTGAAGAGCAGCGACATCGAGCCGCGCCGCAAGAAGTCTGGCTGGAACGAGCTGGTGACGGAGAAGCAGAACTGGCTCATCCAGTTCATCGGCTACTTCCGTGGTCCCATTCTTTATGGTTCGTATTAGCCCGTGGTTCCCCCCCCCCTTCTCCCGTGCGATGAGATCGCTGACCGTGGTTCGCCTGCAGTGATGGAATTGGCCGTCATCCTGGCTGCTGGTCTGCGTGACTGGATTGACTTTGGTGTGATCATCGGTATTCTGATGCTTAACGCTATTGTCGGTTGGTACCAGGAGAAGCAGGCGGCCGACGTTGTCGCCAGCTTGAAGGGTGACATTGCCATGCGCGCCTGGGTTATCCGTGACGGCCACGAGCAGGAGATCCTCGCTCGTGAGCTGGTTCCCGGTGATATCGTAAGTTTCGGCCCGCCGTCGTCCGTGGATCTTGCTAATTGAAGTGATAGGTCATTCTCGAGGAAGGTCACGTCGTCCCCGCTGATGTCCGCCTGATCTGCGACTACAACAAGCCCGAGAACTTCGAGCTCTACAAGCAGCACCTGGCCAGCCTGGGTGACGACACCCTCAAGGAGAAGGAAGATGAGGACGAGGACGACCGCGAGCAGCACCTGGGCCACCCCATCGTTGCCGTCGACCAGTCCGCCATCACTGGTGAATCCCTGGCTGTCGACAAGTACATGGGTGACACTTGCTACTACACCACCGGTTGCAAGCGTGGCAAGGCTTTCGCTGTCGTGACGGCCACCGCCAAGCACTCCTTCGTCGGAAAGACCGCCTCGCTGGTGCAGGGTGCCAAGGACCAGGGTCACTTCAAGGCCATCATGAACTCCATCGGTACTACCCTGCTGGTTCTCGTTATGTTCTGGATTCTCGCGGCATGGATTGGCGGTTTCTTCCGTCACCTGCGCATTGCCCTCCCCGAGGACTCCGACCGCAACCTGCTGCACTACACCCTGATTCTGTTCATCATTGGTGTCCCCGTCGGTCTGCCCGTCGTCACCACCACCACCCTGGCTGTCGGTGCTGCCTACCTCGCCAAGCAGAAGGCCATCGTCCAGAAGCTCACTGCCATCGAGTCTCTGGCTGGTGTCGACGTGCTCTGCTCGGACAAGACTGGTACTCTGACCGCCAACCAGCTGTCCATCCGGGAGCCCTACGTTGCTGAGGGTGTCGATGTCAACTGGATGTTCGCGGTCGCCGCCATTGCCTCGTCCCACAACGTCAAGAACCTGGACCCCATCGACAAGGTCACCATCCTGACCCTGCGTCGCTACCCCAAGGCCCGTGAGATCCTGTCCCGCAACTGGGTGACTGAGAAGTTCACTCCCTTCGACCCGGTGTCCAAGCGTATCACCACCGTCTGCACTTGCGATGGCGTCCGTTACACCTGTGCCAAGGGTGCTCCCAAGGCTATCCTGAACCTGACTCAGTGCTCTGAGGAGGAGGCCCGTCTCTACAAGGAGAAGGCTGCCGAGTTCGCTCGCCGTGGTTTCCGTTCCCTGGGTGTCGCCGTTCAGAAGGAGGGTGAGCCCTGGCAACTGCTGGGCATGTACCCCATGTTCGACCCGCCTCGTGAGGACACTGCCCACACCATCACCGAAGCCCAGAACCTTGGTCTGTCCGTCAAGATGTTGACTGGTGACGCCATTGCCATTGCCAAGGAAACCTGCAAGATGCTGGCCCTGGGTACCAAGGTGTACAACTCGGAGCGTCTGATCCATGGTGGTCTGACTGGTTCTCGTGTGCACGACCTCGTCGAGCGTGCCGACGGTTTCGCCGAAGTCTTCCCCGAGCACAAGTACCAGGTCGTCGAGATGCTGCAGCAGCGTGGTCACCTGACTGCCATGACTGGTGACGGTGTCAACGATGCTCCTTCTCTGAAGAAGTCTGACTGTGGTATCGCCGTCGAGGGTGCCACCGAGGCTGCCCAGGCTGCCGCCGATATCGTCTTCCTGGCCCCTGGTCTGAGCACCATCGTCGACTCGATCAAGGTCGCTCGTCAGATCTTCCAGCGTATGAAGGCGTACATCCAGTACCGTATTGCCCTTTGCTTGCACCTGGAGATCTACCTGGTCACGTCCATGATCATCATCAACGAGACCATCCGCGCCGACCTGATCGTCTTCATCGCCCTGTTCGCCGACTTGGCCACCATTGCGGTCGCGTACGACAATGCCCACTACGAGCAGCGTCCTGTCGAGTGGCAGCTGCCCAAGATCTGGGTCATCTCCGTCGTGCTGGGTGTCTTGCTGGCTGCCGGTACCTGGATCATCCGTGGCACCATGTTCCTGTCCAACGGTGGTGTCATTGAGAACTGGGGTAACCCGCAGGAGATTCTGTTCCTGGAGGTTGCTCTGACGGAGAACTGGCTGATCTTCGTCACTCGTGGTGGCAAGACCCTTCCCTCGTGGCAGCTGGTTGGTGCCATTGCTGGTGTCGATATCCTGGCGACCCTGTTCTGTGTGTTCGGTTGGCTTTCTGGTGGCTACCCGGAGCAGACCAGCCCGCCTGACCCTGCGCACTTCTCCGACGGTCCTACCAGCATTGTCACGGTGGTTGTCGTGTGGGCCTACTCTCTGGGTGTGACGATCATCATTGCCATGGTGTACGCGATCCTGACGGACATCCCGTGGTTGGACAACCTGGGTCGGTCTTCGCGCTCCAAGGCGGACACTCACCTGGAGAACCTCATCGGCCACCTGTCGAAGCTGGCCATTGAGCACGAGAAGGATGAGCACACCGGCCGGTCCCGCTACGTCCTCACGACTCGCGCTCCTGAGGAGGAAGATGACGAGTAAAACACCATAAATGTATGACTGGCACGGGGGTGGTTATTTGCCTTCCGTTCACTTAATATTTTCCTTTTTTTTTCTTTTTCTTTTTGTCTTTTTATCTCTTTAATTTTTTTCCCGACATATGCTGGCAACATGTTTTTGTAACAAGATCCAGCCCCAGAAACACACAGATACACAGACACAGACACACACAAACAGACTTGAATTACTGTTTTAGTGTCGTGTTAACATACCATACCATAGATCTTAGTGTATATCCGACCTTGGTCATAGAGATTGGACTTTTCTTTCTTCTTAACTAATGTATGTATGTATTTAAATTGTAGACTGAATGTAGATTTAACTTGTAGGTGTATACAGAGTATACAGAGTACTAGGTTTGTATATTGGGTGTGTATACTAGGTGTTAGAACGGTGGCATGTCAGTATATAGTTATAGTACGGTGTGGATGGTGGATATAGTGGATATTAGTACTCCGTACAGCGTACTATACGATACTATCCCCATATCTACATCTATACCTATATCAGTTTTCTAAACACCTAGTCGTAAATGTAAGTAAGTGAGACTAGACCAGTCTGTGCAGAGTAGAACTCTGTACGGAGTAAATACGTAATCTGTAGCGGTATTATATAGCATTTTGCAGGCTGTGCGTCTACCTATGGCCGAGTCTTCTTTCATCTTTTCCTTTCAGATGATATACCCCCACCTGATTCTATTCTTACGAAGTAATGACAACAGAACTATAACCACGGCATCCAATCAATCCACCCAACATTCCCAAACTCTCCCTTCTCATTCTGAAAGACCTTCGCCGGCGAATCGTACGCCGCAGACTGCGCATCATCCAGGAGGGTGTCAACCTTCCCACTCACCCTCCCCGTACGATTAAACCCCGGGCCATACGTCTTATACTCCGCCATGAGCGTAACATTCGGCTCGTAACGACCTACCCCATCGACAATCCAATCAATATACCCTGACGGCAGAATACTACCATCCTCATACGTCCGCGCAAAGATGGAGCGGTGCAGGCTATTCCACGGCCTTCCAAGGGCGCATTTGTGCCGTATGGCCTCCGCGACGGTAGCGTTGGCGGCAGTGATCCGCGAGTCGACGATGTATACCCCGTATTTGTTGGGAAAGGAGGTTGTGTTTGTCCCCTTCCAGGCTGTTATTCCCCCGCCGCAGTTGCGGAGGAGGAGATGGGAGGATTGCAGCCAGGCGGTGCCGAAGCCGTACAGGAAGTCTGTTTGGCCTGCGACGATGCTGGAGTAGATGTATGCGTTGCCGTGTTTGCCGATGTAGACCTCCTGTCGTCAGTACACATACACACATACACAGACAGTCAATTGTGAGGGCTAGGTAGGTAGGGAGGGGGGGGGGCTACAGTATCCTGAAACGAATAAAACCCGCAATAATAAAACCCGCCATTCGCATAGCTCAGACTGAGCGCCAGCGCCGGTCCAGCAGAGTACTCAGAGAACACATTCCGGAAATCGATATTGTAAGCCCGGAAATCGCGGTTGCCGAACGGTGTGTCTGCTGGGACGGGGTACCCCGTTGGCCCGGACCCGGTCAGACTGGCCTCTAGTGTCGGCGCGACGGTTAGCACGCTCGTGTAGGCGTTGTCTGCGTACGTGCCATTGTTGGCTGCGGCCCAGAAGACGGTGACTTTGTTCTGGCTTGCGTCTGTGGGATGGGAGGTTTGCCCCAGCAGCGTGACGGGCCCGGAGCGCGTGATGTTTAGCTGTTCGGTATAGTTCCCTGCTAGGATGAGGATGGTCTGCGACGAGTTGTCGTTGGGGAGAGAGTCGATGGCAGACTGGATAGAGGTGAAGTGTGCCCGAGGATCATTTTTGTTGTTGCTGACGATTATGGTGCCGTTGGGGCAGGAGGTTAGGCTCGTTTGGCAAGACAGGCGTGATGTGCCAGCTGGGAATTGTGTTGGCGTGGAGTGTGAGAGATGGAGGAAGGGGAGTAAAGCCCAGAGATAGATGAGAGACTTCATCCTGGTATTGCATTCTCAGATGACTGTATAGGAGGTTACATCTCAGAGTATTTAGTTTAAATATATCTATCTATCCATCTAGTCTATCTATTAAGCAAGCCACTAATTAGCTATGTTGATAGCAACTACCCCATAGTATATTCTTTACCCCGTACGGAGTAGTATTATTTATTCTACCTAGGTATATTGATCCAATCTGGAGAAATGGAGAAATTGCGGGGAACCTACTCTAATCTAACTCATCAAACTCCCCCCACACAGAAATCATGCTATTGGACAAGAGTATTCCTAAAAGCCAGGCTATCGCATTCTTACTCCGTACTTGGTGAGGACTTGGTCAGCCGGAGAAATCATCTCCACCTGTCGGATGTTGTCTTTTGTGTTTGGCGGTGAGACTAGATAGAATAGACTAGAATGTATCTGGATAGGTAGGTAGGTAGGTAGCTAAGGTAGGTATAGAAAGGAGGGTTGTTCTGTAGGGGGAATTGATGGTTTATTTTCTATTTTCTAGGAGATGTACTGTACATGCATACATGATACATGTGTGTAGACGAGTATCTGTAAGGAATTTAAGGTTTGCTGGATTGCTAACCTGTACAGTACAGTATGTATAGTAATAGTTTAGGTACGTGAAGAGTAATACTCATTACATAGATGTCCTATGAAAACCAAAAAAAAAAAAGAAAAAGAAAAAAGAAAAAGAGAAAAAAGAAAAAAGAAAATAGAAAATAGAAAAGAGAAAAAAGTGCCATGGTTTGTTTCCATCAAATGAAATCTCCTACCCATCGGATTTCGACTTCTCCTCGCCAGCCGGCGGAGCAATGGGCTTATCCTCGACAGTAACGACCTCAGACACAGCATCTACAGGCTGAAACCCATCAGCCATCAATTTAACCTTGATGCGGAATTTCCCAAGTTGAGTAAACCTAAACTGCGACAGCGCAACGCATCGCGATCGAGGAGCGGATGGGGCCGGAAACCAGCGTTCTCCATCTTGAGGAGGCGTGTATGCAAATCCAGACGTCGTGTAGGTTTCACTGCCGTCGGGGAGAAGCTCGACACAAAGCTTATACGGTACGCGCAGTGGGAGGGTATCGCCCATGGTGGAGTCGATTAGGAGCGTTGGGACCATTGTGGCTCCTACGGGGATATTTTCGAGAAGATGGTGGAATTTCATTATCAATTCGCCTTTGTTGGGTTCGGTGGTGTCTGGTTGTGCCTTTTGTTATGATGTCAGATTTTTGAATTGACGGATGAACTCTGCTGGAGGTAAGGTCAGTTTGTTGAGCCTGGCGTATGTATGTATGGGACTTTTCCTGACTCACCTGTTGCAGATCTCGTCTAGTCAAGAAAGTAACTATATGCCAGACAGGATTTAAGCAATATAGTGTAAGCGATTTCTATCTATCAAGTGATGTTAGGACTTGAGGGAATTCTGAGAAGGCATAACTCAAGTTTTTTTTTTGTAAGACAGGATTACTCATGGAAGAGTCATTTGTGGCTATTCATGTAGGGTCTGTGATATTGTTGAGTCAGAGGCACATATTCACTTGCATTAGCTGTGGAATTGTATTTTTGCCAGAAGACAGTATTCTGTCGATGGACAGGATACAATCTGAGTAATAACTAAACTCCTAGCTTGTCAGAAATAAATATCATGGCTAGAAGAACAATCATGAGAATATAGCGATTATGCTGCAGTCGATGGGTGCTATTCCCTTCGTTGTCTCGATAAACCTGGATGGTGAGGTCGCTATATTTATACAAAATTACCATTATCAAGATATTGGAATAGAATATTTAGAGGAACTGATTAAATTACTAGTCTCACTCGGACATGAATAACCAAAAATGGAATAATAGATCAAAGGAATATAGAAGAAGTGAAAATAACCATGTAGATAAAAAAGATCGAGAATTGCTCATTGACTCATACATGTATATGAAGAAGAAAGGGACTGGTTATAACAGTCCAGAAGAAAGAAACTCAAAGAAAGAAATGAAAGAAATGAAGTAAAATAAAATAAAATAAAATAAAATAAATGACGACTGTACTCCCACACAAAGAACTCAGATTAGACCGTCATCTACTTGTCGACTTCGTCTGCAGCTTCGACTTCGTCTGCATCTTTGACGGTAATGTTCTCGAACAGTTGATACGCTTCGTAGTCAAATGTTTCGCCCGTGTCCGATGCAACAAAACAGCGGACAAGAACAAGGACATCAAAGGTTCCTGTGACTAGCGCGTCGCCATCCTCGCGGTGGAAGTGGCAGTCGTACAGCCAGAAGGTTCCTTCGCTTCTGTTTTGGTCGCGGAAATCGATTTTGCCTGCGCCCTGGTACTTGAATCGGGGAACGTCTAGGTACAGAGCGGTCAGTATCAATCGAAGCGTACAGGATCTGGTGAGAAGAATGGTCGCAGGAAGAATAAGATCTATTACCACTCTGTTGTGGGTTTATGTCTTCGAAATAACAATCATGAAATGAGACAGTATGAATGGAGAGCCTGTTCTGTAATTCCTTTCCTGAAAAGAAGAGAAGAAGAAAGAAAAAAGGACATTGAGGATTCCATGCTTGATGCCATTTATAAACCACGATTTACTCATATTTGACTCATGGCTAGTCATCAGATTCAGTCATATTATATCCAGTCATATCGAGGGGAATATTACCTGTAGAGAGGCATTGCAAGTCAAAGGAGTCATATTAATGTTAGTCATACACACATGGTCCTTCGGTCAACAGCACAGCGGTACAATTAGCAGTGGTGAAGGAGTAGGTGCAAATCTAGGGCAAAGCAGGATGAAAATTTTCTGCTAGAAATTAGTGTAGTGTTTATAATACCATACCAAGTGGAATGTCGACTTTGCAAAATATTTCGTTTCATGATATTCCAGTCTGCGAGAACGCTGTAGGATCCTGTAGTTGTCAGTTTTATCAATAGACATTATGGAGTCATCAATTTGACGGTTGACCATAAACTAGAACCTCAGGCTGGACAAAATAAATTTTAAAACGATCGACGTGACTCCATCTGACATCTCTTGGAGTAGATGACAAGTGTGAGTTATCCTATGGAATGAAGACTGCTTATGTTTAAGTCCTGGGATAGGGCTAGTCCATCGCTCCTTCCTTCCATCGCAGTCCCTCGACATTGTCCAGTTCTCTCCTTCTTCTTGTAAAAGACAACTCTCCCTCTCACCATGACGGCTTCCTCAGAATCCCCGATCGATGAGACATCTTCCCAAATTTCGTCGGATTCAACCGATTCATGTCTTACCACACCTGACCCCACAATCATGGCAGGGTTCTGGGGCGAATTACTCGCCTCTGAGATTTACCTCCTTGTATGTTGCTAGTCAGGTAGTCTACCGCTACTAAAGTTGACATGATTTCTTGCAGGAACAATGGAATGCCTCGTCCAGCGAGAGTCCTATTGCGCAGCGAGACCGACTCTTCCGTGACTATGTCCAGATGGGTGTTGCTGGTCGGTGGGTGAGTGCCCATTTTATCTACATGCTGGAGGAGATCCTGCTGACTTTCCAGCGTTATCATCAAGCTGCCGAGTCAGGGGATTATGAGCGACCAACTGTGGACCAGATCACGCTCCTGGAGGGGGTCCGAACAGTCGAACAGCGCGCTACCGCCATGCTAGTCGCGCGCGGTCATCACCGTGCGTGGCTGCGCATCGACTATGAAGCAGAATGGCAGCCAGATCCGAGACGAAATCCCATGGACGAGCACACGGAAGACGTCCTCGCGAGAGCAACGAGCAATAACCATACAAAAGTCGATTTCCTGTTCCTAAATGACCGGGATCTATACGCGTACAAGGACTGGCATGAACTGTTGACGTGCATCCCTGAGGTCCTGGACAGCCACATGGGTCCCAAGATGCCATGGCAATACCGTCAGAAGATCAATGAAGTGAAGACAAAGGCAATGAACGACTGTCAGATGAGCTCAGAGGATATGCATGAATATATTCGAGCAGACGGGCATTGGGCATGGGTGACGGGCATCCTCTGGGTTCATGACAAGAAGACAACGCAGTCCGGGGATATCAATCTGATTTGGATGGACGAGTATGGACGGGCAGTAAGGGAGGCCCGGTTAGGTTCTGAGCTTGCGCTTTGTTTTGACTTTCCAAGCCCTGATATGAGGAATGCATGGTGGACGATGGCGAAGGAGGGAGAAAAGTACGAGGGTGGACAGTGGCCAGAAACGTCGGTGGATGCACTGTACTCTGGTGACATCCTGGCCAGGTCCTATCTTCAGAACTAGCATTACTTGACTGATGGTTATTCATACGGCGATTAGGTTTGTTCGATGAACATGGAGCTATGACGGCTATTCTCATCTGAGATACCTCTAACACTCTTGGTCTCGTTCTTCAATCCATTGATGAACTATCACGTATATAGAATACAGGTACGAGATGTCAAAGAATTGCTATCCCATTGCCTTTACTTCTAAGAGCGTCTCCCTGGAATACATTATTTAAGAACGAGCGTAAGTCCAGGTGACAGCTAATTCGATTTACCAGATGACAGAGCTCACACAAACACGACGCTATTTCTCAAGGTGCCGATCTTGCTGATCGAAACGTCCATCTGTGTGCCCGGAACGAGATATCGAGGCGGGTCCAATCCTGCGCCAACTCCTGCAGAAGACAAACAGAAATGATCAACAAAGATTCCAGGTTGATATAATTGACTGTGAGTTTACCTCCCGGCGTCCCCGTCATGATAACACTCCCCTTCTGCAGCGTCGTCCCCTGCGACAAGTACGAGACGAGATAGGCACAGTCAAACAGGAGATCAGCCACGCTCTCACTCTGCCTCAGCTCGCCATCGACCCTTGTCTCCAGACGCAGCTCTTTCGGATCTGGGATGAGCGCCCGCGACACCAGACACGGCCCCAGAGGCGCAAACGTGTCGAAGCCCTTGGAGAACCCCCACTGCGGCACGCGGCCGGCCAGCGCGGGATCGCGCTGCAGCTTGCGTGCAGAGATGTCGTTGCCGACGGTGTAGGCTGCGATGTAGGAGAGGGCTTGGTCGATAGGGACGTTTTTTGCGTCGCGGCCGATGATGAGGCACTAGAATCACAATATCAGTCGTCTGGCTGTCTATCTGTCGAGACAGGTAGTTTTACCAGCTCTCCCTCATAATCCGCCTGGTCGTCCTGCGCAATCTTGGGAATCTCCACGGGAGCATTGTGATCGTGGACCGTCGTGCTGGGCTTGAAGAAGATGGACGGGAAAGGAGGGGGCGATCTCCCTGCTTCCTTGACTGGTGAAAACAACCATATTAGCAAATACATACATATATAAACAGATAGGGAGAAAGAGAGATGAACTATGTCTCGCATAATTCAACCCCACACACCGCAGAATCGGCACGTCGTCGCTCGTCAGCGGCCCGAGGATCTTTCGCACCGTGACGACCTCATCCGTCAGATGCGTCTTGCCGCTCGTGTCGAAGATGTCGTCTCCGGCGAGGACGCGGGCTTGTAGTGAGTCTGCTTCCGTGATGAAGCCTAGATCTAGTTCTGTGTTGTTATTGTTGTCCGGGGTGACGGGCTCGCCGCGGAGGATGCGGCCGTCTGTGGCTTCGAAGCGGATTAGGCGTGTCCAGGGGAGGGTCATTGAGGATGGAGTAACGATGAATGAAGAGTAGTTCGTTTACTAGTAGATTGTGTGACTCATAAGTATTGATAGAGAGTAGTATATTATTTATTGCAGTCTTGTATGTAGCTCAAGAAAAGTGGAATTCATCGCGGAAAGATCGGGTATATGCCGGAAGGAAAAATATATACAGCAATCAGTCAGCTTAACCGGTGATCAGCGACTATTTCCGTAGGAAACAAAGTGTCAGTCATTATTATGCTGAAGCTAGAAATAAATAGAGATATTCCATGGAGAGATAACCATTGAACGAAGTAATTATGCAGGATCTTAAGTCCAAGATTAGGTATAGAACTGTCGTACCCTAACTGGGAGCCGAAGTGACAAGAAATGGAAATTCTCTCTTTCCCTCTCGTGCTTTCTCTGATGTTTTTTATATTTTCTATTTTTATTTTACAAACTGCTTTTCCTTTTCTGCCCCATCCACGCACGATCAAATTCCCCCCTCGCATCATAACCGTAGCACCACACCTGCGTCGTCGGATCACTCCACTGATTCGGACTGTGCGAGAACAAACGCCCCTCGACCTCCGGCATCATGGCCCGATCCCGCACCTGCTGCAGCGGGCCATCCGCAAAGTGCCACAGCTGGCCATTGAGCAGGCTGGCCTCCTGCATCTGCGTCGTTCGCTTCTGTCGTACTCTTTCGAAGATGGATAGCGCGGTGGGAATGTGTTCGCGGACGCGGACCTTGGATAGTGAATGGGCGAGGGCTACGCCATCTTCGACGGCCATGGCGGCGCCTGCAGCACAGTACATGTGGTTAGCTGCTGTTTCCAGATGGAGTTGGATATGGCAGACCTTGAGACATGTATGGAACCATTGCGTGAGCTGCATCGCCCAGGATGACCAGCTTTCCTGACACCCACCGGTCCAGTGGTGTCCCGCTGAGAAGAGGCCATTTTAGGGTCTTGTCGACCATTGCAATGATCTTCGTCAGTCTAAATAACATCAGTAAGGTCCGTGGGAGAAGTACGTAGTATTAGATCTGGCATACGTTGGATCCCAGCCACGGAATTCAGCCTTCATGTCTTCCAGAGCTCTGCTTTGATCCCAACCGGATGGATCGGTGTCATCCGGGTGAGAGAGCACCAGGTTGAAGGTCTTCCCTGCTCCAATCGTGTACGTCATGACATGTCGCTGGTCACCGATCCTGTGTCGCTATCAGCACACTCTCTTTGCTGTGTCTACGAAGAATCGAGACCAACCAGATGTTTAGGGCTGGCTCTTGGAGCAAACTGCGTATCTCGGGATCACGCTTCAACCGGTCCACTTCTACCGTCGATCGATAGGCTGCGAACCCGGTTCTCCTCGGCGGCTGATCGTTGCCCTCGAGGACGATTCGTCGGGCTATCGACTTGACGCCTTGATAATATCATCGTTAGAAAAAGAAAAATACTGAGGTTCGACACACACACCATCTGCTGCCACGATCAGGTCCGCCGAAACAGATGTCCCATCCTGAAACGTGACACTGGGACGATTTGCGTCATAGTCGACGACCCTAGAATCCAACCGCACCGTCACTCCCAGGTCAATCGCCCTACGATACAGCGCCGTGTGGAAGTCGGCGCGGTGGATCACATAGTAGGCCGCGTGGTATGTCTGACGAAAGTCCGGAATCAGCCTGGTATGCCCGATGACCTGGCCGTTCTCCCAGCGGCGGAAGAAGATTCCTCGAGGCTCAGTCACGTAGTCCTGGAGGTAGGGCTCCAGGCCGAGGTCGACGAGCAGGCGTGTCGAGTTGGACGGGATCTGGATGCCTGCGCCGACCTTTCGACTCGTATCAGCTTCCTTGCTGTTGTCAGGATAGACATTAATTGTCGATGTATGTCCATACCTCGCCCAACTGCGGCGTCTGCTCGTATACAGTCACACTGTGACCATGCTGTGCGAGGGCAATGGCTGTCGCCAACCCTCCCAGCCCCGCGCCAACGACTATGATCTTTAAACGAAGGGCATCGTTGGCAGGAGCAGCTGCACGATTCGTCCTGGACTGCAGAAAATAGAGACAGTTGGTAGGGTATGATGGCGTCTGCGAACAATCAGAAGAAGTCAACAGGGAGACAGCGATGCCTGACTGACCTGGAAGATGGATGCTTTCAGTGGCGTCTGCGAGCCATTGGCCAGCCCATTGTGCTTTGCGGCCATCTTCTTTCCTGGAATCTATCGTGAAGTACGTATTTCCTGTCTGGTTGCTTTTTGCATATAAAATACACACATCTTGGTCACACTCAGCGGTGCTTCCGGTGCTTCCCCGATCCTTCCGCGGCGCCTGATCGCCTCGGCTGTTCAACGCGAGCAATGAACGAGATAAACTGTTGCTAAATATCAGTGCAGCGTGGGATTGAGTAATTCTCATAATCACAGATCTTCAACTCCTGCATTGATCTATCTCTGCGCATGACGAACACCATGACCCCTTCCATCGACAACCACTCACCCAGCAATGGCGAGATCACAGAGGAGCAGCTGCTCGAAGAAGTGCGGAAAACCAACACGCTCCCGCTGTGGACGCAAATGACGCGTCTGAATCCCCCCGAGCCGAATCCCATCTGCGTTCCGTTTGTGTGGAAATACAAGTTCATCCGGCCCAACCTGCTCACGGCAGGGAAGCTGATCACGGAGAAGAAGGCGGAGCGACGCGTCCTGATGCTGGTGAATCCTGCACGAGGTATGCAAGAATCGCTGCTCCAGCAAGTAACACAACGTATTTAACGATTCCATGCAGAGGCCCCCTACACAACCGACACGCTGTACGCCGGTCTCCAGCTGGTCATGCCGAACGAAACCGCCCCGGCGCACCGTCACACAGCGTTCGCGATGCGCTTCATCATCGAGGGTAACGGCGGTTTCACGGCCGTTCATGGTCGCCGGATTTGCATGCAGCAGGGGGATGTGATCCTGACTCCCACTTGGAACTACCATGACCACGGCAAGGACGGATCGGGCCCCATGATCTGGCTGGATGGCTTGGATCTGCCGAATTTCCGCCACTTCCCCGTGCATTTTGTCGAGCATTACGCTCAGCCGCGGTACCCAGCGGAGGACGTTGACAGCGAGCAGTCGCCCCTGGTTTTCCCCTGGGCGAAGATGAAGGCGGAGCTGGATAGTGCTGATGAACCATGGGTGACATGCCGCTATTTTCGATCGGACGGTCATGAAGGTATGTGATGGACGAACACTCTGTACAACGTCTAAACTCTCTGACACACCCCAGTTAGCAGAATCCTCGGCGGCAGTGCCGAGAGAATCAGCCCGGGATGCTCCTCGCCCCGTCGGCGGGAGACCACATCGGCCGTCTATCATGTCGTCTCCGGGAGCGGCTATTCCGTCATCGGCGAAACGAAATTCTCCTGGGAAAAGGGCGATACATTCTGCGTGCCGGCTTGGTACCCATACGAGCATTTCGCGGATCCGTCCGAGACGGTGTACCTGTACCGGTTTGATGACCGGCCGATGATTGAGGCGTTGGGATTCTATCGGTCTGAGGGGATGGATCCGGAGAGTTTGGTGTCGGAGTAGTGAACCAGCTAGCTGTCGCTTTGAGAGCATGTTTGTCAGTACTGCTTGCTTTACTGTAAATGGTGGATATGTGGACTACATATATGTACTGTCAGGACCTGTCTCAGTGTCGAACCAGTCTGAGAATTGAACGATTTATACGTTCGCCATATATCATCCCAATACATGTACTAGGACACAATTCTATCAGTAATCACTATTTAATAATTAAAGGAAACACTCAGTCAAGGAAACACTGAGTAAAGGAATCCTCGTAGGGCATGGTACGCTGCTGTCACGTGAGGTCCCGTCCATCCGATCTTTCCCCGACGATCTCCCAGATTCACTCGAATAGCCTGATTATCAACTGAATTCGCTGAAAAACACATCTGACAGAATGGAAGCCTCCAATGGGAGCTCCGACCCACCCCCAGGACCGCCAGCCAAACGGCGCCGAGTCGCGTTGGCTTGCGATGCGTGCCGCACGAGAAAGTCCCGAGTATGCTGGCTGTTCTGATCCATACATAGCCATTTCCGTGCAGAGCTGTCGGCTGACGAATCCCCAGTGCGATGGCTCTCGTCCAAAATGCTCACTGTGCATCGATCTGGGGTTCGAGTGTGTCTATACCCCGCCGGCCACCGCCACCAATGTCATCATCCACAAGGAGTATGTGCAATGCCTGGTGGAGGCTGACATGCTATTTTCGGCAGAGTTATTGCGGCTGACTGCCATTAGTTACTTGACGAGCCTGGAGAGCCGTGTCAGAGCATTGGAGGAGACGCTGTCGGCCGTCGAAGACCACGTCGATGATCTGTCGTCTCGACTGGATCGGGGCGACGACCCCAAGAACAGACATGATCCGAAAGCGTCGCAAGATGTTGAACCCGTGTCTGATCTTGCTGGTGTAGAGGATGCCGTTGATGCGATGGGCGCAGTCGTCTTTGCAGATGAGGAAGACTCGGGATTTTTTGGTACTTCGGATGATCTTCTGTGATTGCTTCACATAGTAATCTTTCTAGGACCGTCTTCCAATATTGCTTTCTTGCGGCATCTCTCGCAGGCGGTAACGTCTGCTGGGAAGATGCAGAGCGAACTGACTTCGCCGTCACTCCGCGGATCGGGACAATTCGAGGGTGGTTTTCTGAACGTGTCTCGGCCTCCATCTCCCACGCTCCGCCATTCTGATCGGGACGCTGCGCAAAACAAGTACAACATCTTCACCCTCCCGCCGTCGAACGAAACGTCGGAGCTGATCCAGAGGTACTTTTCCGACACGGGCCTCCTTTTCCCGTACTTGCATGAGCCCACCTTTCGCGAGACCTACGGCCAGTTAGTCCGCGACGGCTTTACCAAAGTGCGTCGAACGTGGCTTGGATTGCTGAATATGGTGCTTGCGATGGCTACCATCACGGCATCTGCAGGGAACACGCGAGCAGATGCCCGGATCAAGGCATCGGACGTATTCTACCAAAGAGCGCTGGGTCTTTGCGGCAAAGAGATCCTGCGGGGGACGACTCTCGAAGTAGGTAAGCAGCGTAAGAACATCATTGCTTAATGAATTTGATTCTCAGCGCGGTGTCCGTTACAGTTCAATATCTGCTTCTGATGGGCCAGTACCTCCAAGGAACGCAAAAGTCGGTTCAGGCCTGGACCGTGCATGGATTGGCCGTGAAGGCAGCTCTTCAGCTGGGGTTGCATTCGCAGGAAGCGTCCAGGGTCTTTTCTCCTCTGGAGCGAGAAATCCGGAAGCGAACCTGGTATGGCTGTGTGGTTTTGGATAGGTGAGAAGTCCATTACGTGGTGAAGCCTAATGTTCGTCTCTTTGCTGAAACTTGCTACTCCAGAACCCTAAGCATGACCTTTGGGCGTCCTGCCGCCATACCGGACCACTACGTCAAGCTGGAGCTGCCGGCGCACCACGAGTCCATGCGACCATTTACCATGCTGGATGATGGCAGTGCCTCCCTGAGCCTGGCTTTCTTCAACTCTACGATGTGCGCTGCACCTCGCCTTCTATACATGCGAATTTCGTCTGACACAGAATCAGAACCCTGTACAAGCAGATGTGGAACGTCATCGACCTCCTTTATGGCCAAAATCTGGGATGTGACCGACCATCCGGCGTCAGCGAGACTGTCGCCCACGTTTTCCGAATGGAACAACATTTGATCTCCTGGGAGCGATCTTTGCCCGATACGCTTCGGCTAACCTGCGCTCGACAGTTGCAAGGAGAAGAGCAACGACAGGAGCCCAGCTGCCCTCGGGACCAGCTTCGATGGAAACTTCGGGTCATCCTTACCCTGCGGTATCTCAATCTCCGGGTTCTGTTGCATCGACCGATTCTCACCAAATTCATCGATGCTCGAGGGAAACAAAGAAACGAGGAAGAGGAGGACGGTCGCCATGAGTCAATGCTGCTGCTGAAGCACATAGGCACGAACAGCGTCGAGATCTGCGTCAACTCGGCGATGGATATCATCGACCTGGTCCATGAAGTTGTCCACGCGCCGGGATGGCAGAGAAGTCTGCTAGGGGCGTGGTGGTTCTCATTATATTATAGTTTGTGTCACTGTTCCTATTATAAGAGTGATCTTCTGCTGATATGGTTCTAGCATTCAATGCTGCGTTGGTGATCCTGGGAGCGCTCTGGGTATGCCGCGGCGATGATTCCGATGAAGCTAGCGTTCCTCCTGATATGGACAAGTTGGTCGAGAAGGCCAGCGGTTATCCTCAGCGGGCTGTTGCTGCGCTGCTCAATCTGGATAGTGGAAATAAAATGGTGGATCGGTGTCGATACTATCTTGAGCATTTCAATAATGCTCTCAATCCGGTCGGTGAGTCAACTCGTTTCATTCCACTTCGCTTTCTAAGGACGTTTAGTTCCATGAGGAAAAGAATAATAACAGTGACTTGTCTGCAGATGTCGACGGCATGCCTGTCTCGAACCATACCACCCTTTTTGCAGACACGACTGCGCGGCTTGGACCAGGTCAAGGTCAAGGTCCTTCAGGCACCGAGATGATCGATTTCTCGACTTCGCTCGGCATGGGAATGGAGATGGAGCTGGGCGAGTTTCTGCTCGACGACGGGGAGCAACTTCGAGGGTTGATCAACGTTAATAGGTCCGGTTCAGTAGTCATTCCGACGCCTGTGCCGGATGAAGATGAGGATGGAAGGGGATAGTCTATCATATACGTAGTCGTCGATAGAACAGAATAGAATATGCGTCCTGGGAGAAGTTTGATAGCGGATCTACATGTAGTTATCTCGACAGATTCTTGCAGCATGTCCTGAGGACAGCATGCAGCGCACGGTAACCGGGGATCTGTCGGAATAAAACCTGCCTCGCCATTCCGCTTTATCCCCGCTGCATGCATCTACCGACCAGAAGCACTAATACCAATGGTCAAGAAAGACAGACAGGACCAATACATATGTCTAGCTTGGGCTGGAGAGATAAATGGATGGCCTAGCATGCTAATAGGTTCAGATGTGTCAATCACTCTCTCACTCACGAATACTCCCAATCCTTACGCTAAACCTTCCCGGTTTACCACTATTACCAACATCAGTATCAATCAGTCTTATCTATACACTACCGAAAAGATAAGATATATGCCACCAACATGCCATCTCTACGCTTCCCCAACCGCCCCCAATTCTCCGGTTTCATGAAGCCCTGCCGGATCGAGGGCGAAGTGCAGAATCTCGAAGTCGTACAGGGCGAAATCCCGCCCGACATCGACGGCACGTTCTATCGTGTCATGCCCGATCCGCAATTTCCGCCGTTTGTCGAGGATGATCCTGTATGAAACATCCACCTTGGATCGAGGGATGACTGACGGCTAGCTAACTGGATGTTCTGCAGCGGTTCAACGGCGATGGCAACGTCAGCGCCTTCAGGATCAAGAACGGCCGAGTTTCGTTTCAGCAGCGTTATGTCCGGACGGAGAAGTTTGTGAGGGAAAGAGAAGGGCAGAGGGCGTTGATGGGTTAGTTCGTATATCATTCTCTCGTGATATCATTCTCACTTGATCAACTGCTGTTAACTTATGTGTATATGGTTAGGCAAATACCGCAACAAATACACCGACGCAATCGAATTCCAAATCCGCAGCACAGCCAACACCAACGTCATCTACTTCAACCGACGCCTGAAGGAGAACTCGTCTCCCTACGCGCTGGATCCCATCACCCTCGAAACGCAGGGTCTGTATGTACACCTTCGACGGCCAGCTCCTCCCCAGCCTGACTTTTACTGCCCACCCCAAGTTCGACCCCGGAACGGGTGAGATGATCTGTTTTGGGTACGAGGCTAAGGGGGACGGCTCGCCGGATGTCTGCTACTATACTGTCGCCCCGGATGGGACGTTCAGCAGGTTGTCTGGCTGGTGGCGCCTGTTGTGGCGATGATTCATGATTTTGATGTTACTGAGAATTGGGTATGCGGTTCCTCATGCGGAGTAAAACATTGGCTGATGTTTTTAGGTTCTCTTCCCCTTGATTCCTCAGCTGTGTGACCTCGAGAGAATGAAGCGAGGTGGTGAACATTGGCAGTGGAGCCCCGAAACGCCGTTTTATATCGGTGTTCTGCCACGGCGTGGTGCCAAATCTACTGATGTGAAGGTATACAAACATATACAAAAATGGCGTAAAGGCAGGCTCTGCCAGCTGATACAGTCTTGTGCAGTGGTTCCGCTACCGAAACTCCTTCCCCGGCCACACGGCCAACGCATTCGAAGACCAAAACGGCCTCATCGCCTTCGACCTCGGCCTCTCCGACAAGAACGTCTTCTTCTGGTGGCCCAAGGCAAACGGCCACGCGCCCGACCCAAGCGATATCCACTCGCAGCTGGTCCGCTTCACCATCGACCCGCATTCTCCGTCCGATAGACTGGACCTCGCAGACCCGCATGTCCTGAGTCGCTTCAACAGCGAGTTCTAGTGCATCGACGAGCGCTTCTCCACGAAAGCCTACCGCCACTGCTTCTTCAATCTGATGTATCCGTCACTGGGGACGGATTTTGCCGCCATCGCTGCCCTCCAGCGCCTCGGAGGCGGGTATCCCCTGTACAACGCTATCGGGCATCTCGATCTAGAGACCGGCAAAACAGAGGTCTATTTCCCCGGCCCGACGCGTATGGTCCAGGAGCCGGTCTTCATTCCCCGGAAGGGGTCGTCCAGGGAAGGAGACGGGTATTTGTTGCTGCTGGTCAATAACTATGCCACTATGGCCAGCGAGCTGCATCTCTTGGATGTCCAAGAGGGATTTACCAAGGCTAAGGCGGTGATATCCTTGCCGATACGGCTGCGACCGGGTCTGCATGGGAATTGGATTGATGCGGGGGAGTTGAGGTGACATATCTATCAAGTTTCTGAAGTTAGTGATCGACAGCACCGCTTATTTGAGAAAGGTCACGTCAGGTTAGAGGAAGACCATTGTTGGGATACATACGTACTGAAAAGTTCATCGCTCACGACCCATAAATGGCACATCTTTCAGGGAAAAAAAGAAAAACTTATTAATGGCTTGTCGTAATAGTCCTGCACATTACTGATACAAGCCAAGTACAGCAACCACCCTGCAGTGCAGTGTGCGAGCACAAAAATGTATCAGCAAAAGTTCAAAAAGTGTCATTATAAACTTTGTCCAGTGAAACAGATGGCTGCCTGGCAAAGTGCCCTTATCGCCTGCTTCCTGGATACCTTTGCCCTTGGCTCTGATCCACTTGGCGATGAATCGAGATAGTCAAAATGTTGGCAGAATTGCAAGTAGGGTTAGGGTTACTTCTGCTGGCAGCGCTGGAGGAGACGGTCAAGCGTGGCGCAACGCGGAGAGCTGTCTCGCTCAGATCTGTCAATGAATGCAAAATATCAGCTGATGATCAGTCCTCATCTGGGCAATCGAGCGTGACCATGTCGTCATGAGCATTCCAATATCAACGGGCCGTAGTCGAATCGGACAGCCATTATCAGCTCAAGATCCAGTACCCACAGAGCTCTTTGATGTCAGACATGTCGCTGTTCGAACTAGATTACCGGATACGGGACGCTATGATTGAGGGTTTTATAAGCACGGAGACGATGGTTGATGACATTCGCATGTAATATTTCCGGTTGATGGCTGTCAGTGAGGTATTTTGTCTGGTTTTGTGTCTTGCGATATTTTTTTAGCTTAGGAGATAGTTTTGCTCGAGGATAAATTTTTTTTAGTTGACTGTTGACATCTATGCATTATACTGAGGATATCATCTCTTGAAAATGGCAATACTCACTTTCTCCTTTTTTTTTACTCAAGGGCGAATATTATGGTCTTTTTTTTTCCCGCCATGCAGCAAAAAATCCAGCTCAGTGGATAACTCATGTTGTAATGAGTAAACACAGCATCAGTTCGACTGAAGGTTCGATCTGAAGGTTCGATTGATACTCCTTCTGAACTGGACAATCAATGGTCAAGTCGAAAAGTGAAATGAAGAGAGTCAGAGAGAGAGCGAAGCATAGAGAGAGGCAGAGAGAGAGGGAGGGAGGGGAGAGAGAGAGAAATCTTAGAAGGTTCGTCCTGCCGTCATCTGTCAACGAAACAAAGGAAGAACCCGCTGCACAAACAAAGCAAAACAAAATACAACGATATCTTCTAGGTCCAGGTTAACGACATCTTGTGCTTTCTCGCGGGAGAAGAACACAATGTCATGTCACCATAATATTAAGATTAATCATAGTGCAGACCCTGTGAATGAAAGCAAAGACATTGACGCTCAAGCAACTCTTGGAAAAAAAAAACTCTTCCTCCCTGTCTTCAAAATCATGTGTAGATTAAGTACATAATCAATAAATAATAATTATAGACCCCTATCTGTCTATTGTCTCGAGTAGGGTGTGGTATATATTAATGTCAAACCAAATCTGCGGTAATTCTCTCAGATTTCTAATCTTGCTACACTTCTCACAGACAGTATCTGCACAGCTTGCTAGCCATTGATTGCTTTAGCTACGGCTTTTATCTTCAGAATGTCTGTGATTGCATGGGAATAGTGTGGTAAGAACTCCTTAATACAGGGAGAACGTGGTCAATTAGTAGACTACAGCTCTAGGAAGGCGTATGCATATAATAGAGACTTGACGGCACTCGGTCAGAGATCATCCTTGTCGACTGGCATCAATTAGGAAATGGCCTGACCTGCAGGAAGGCTGCCTGTCTTGGACTGATGCACTTAGTATATCTCAAAAGTACAACCATTCAGTTTGAGCGACTTTTCTTCACGCAGAAGAAGCCAGTTTGCTTAAATGTCGCGGTGCCAGGCAGAGCCAGAGTCGCGGAGTCAGATGACTTAGGCGGTGTAGCAGGCGGTGTGAGTTTGTGCCGGCAGAATCTTTCGATATCTTCCCTCACCCACTACGCCTCGATAGCTTCCTTCTTCTCCAGCTTCGGATCTTCGTTAGATAGCTGCCAAATGAACTGATTTCACTTGTTTGAGCCGTCACATTAAACGTCAAATCCGTGCCATGTCATCCACTGATATAATTACCGGTGCTGCCAACAGGTACCCAATTTACCCAATTTAACACGATTGGAATGATCAATATACCCCATATAACCGTCCAATTCCGATACCAAGAACGCCAAACTTCCACAACTCCACCGGAGAAATATCGATAATAAGCCCGTACATCGAACCGTCCCACGAATAAAAAGACCAGAAAAGACCCTTCCAGATGTATCACTTCATCTTAATTTTGCCCATTGGACTGCTCAGAGACCATTGAGCAAAAAGCTTGAGACTCTCATTATCCTGGTGTCGGAAATCATAGAGCTTGCTATATCTCACAACGAGCTCCCTGCCATCAAAATGGGCATGGAGGATCCGGCCATGTTGTGGCCCCATGAAGGAGAATAACAGGACCTAAGAAAAAAATAACCCACCATTAGTAACGTGACTCTGGTATGACAGGCTGTCTGTTTGAAGAGATGGATAAAAAAAAAACTCACAGGAATGACCATGTGATCAATCCAGGACAGCCAACGCATGCGGCGGTACATGATCCGGGTGATAGCGAGCAGTTCGCCGCGGAGGAGATGATCGTCGTCTCCGTCGATGTCGTAAAGAATAACGCACTTGAGGTGGGGATATTCATGGCCCGGACTATTGATGTCTACGATCCCAGCCCCCTCCCACTGGCCATCGTCCTCGTCGAACTCCCAAAGGAAAAGACGTTCTGCAGTGCTGTCGGTTGTGAATGTGAGAAAACGTAACAGAAGGACCAAAATATGATTCCAACGCAAATAAAAATGAATTATTCGCGACTGGGATAGATGGAAATTAAATATACTCTTCGCAGGTCCACAGCCGCCGCAGGAGGGTGTTGTTGCGCTCAACATTGCGTCGGCAGTAAACAGAATACGCCCCGAGGTAGTGCTCGATAGCTCTCGCGCCGTCAATCGGGCTTAACACCCAGTCTTCGTCAATGGGCCGGTCATAGTCAGGGAAATCTCTCTCGATGCGGACAGGATCGGGATCGCTCAGCGGTCGGGCACGATATGGGTCGAAGAAGCATGGCTTGATGCTCAATGGATCATCTAGGGACATGGGAAGTGCACGAATGTTCACTCTTTCCAGCTCTGCAGGCTCCAATTCTATCTTTCTGAGACGGATGACTTGGGTTTCCAGGTTGCGGAGGGCCTTGCGGCGAGCCTTGTGCTCGGGGGATTCCATGGTAGCACCCCTTTCTGAGGAACAGGAGTTGCTGTGTGAGCGTTGGTAGGATTCGAGAATGATGGAGCCGTTGAGCTGGCCAGATATACTGTACTCGCTGCCACCGATAACACCCTTGCTTGCATCCGATTCTCCGATTCCAGAGGAGCTTGAGAGTCTGATATATCCACCAACAAAAGACGAGCAGATCGTCAACACTGCCTTGCTTATTTTTCTGAATGCGCTTACAGCCCACTTCCCCCTTGCAAACGATTGGACATTGCACAGAAAAATATTCGTGGCCCAGTTTAAACATGCATCCATTGAAGCCAGAACGGATGGGTACCTCGGAGACAGATCTGATGGAAAAGTCCGGGCACTTGTCGAAGTTAAGCCGGCTGCGAGGAAAAAATATCGAACCCCGATTCGTATGCAGGAAAGTGCGCAGATGGTAGCCTGGATCATGAATGATCCGGAAATATCGTCTCCTGGCCGGTAAGTTTATAATTCCGCTCCTGTCCAGTTGGCAGTATTAACAGAACAAGTCGGATTCTGGTATCGCAGGATCGCCACCAGATCTTTGTGACCTTCGCAGAGTATGACGAGGCATACCTGAAGTACCTGAACGGCGAGAACAGTCCGGACGATCCCCTCTCCTTTCTGACGATGCACGAGTTTGGGCCGTGGGATACCCAGAAACGCGAGCACATGGAGCATCTCGCGAGGATCCTCCTCGGGATCACCATACGCGCAGACGAGGATCAGAAGGCGGAATCGTCTGGGAAAGGAGGTCCCGGAGTCAAAAAGAAGGGCCCGCTGTTTGAGAGGTCGTTTTAGCTGGATGCCTGGCTTTTCTTCCAGCCTTGATTATCCGAAAGTGATACTCTTCAGTTCTGTACAGTACATAGATACAAACAGCGGATTAATTTTTCCAGACAGACCTGTAATCTGTCTTCGAATATTGAGATATAAGCCAGGTCCTGCGCCTCTGAGAGCACATCAAAGGCCTGCACTAATTATAGTAATGACAGCCAAGCTAGAGCATAGTTACCTGGCTGTCGGGTTCGTTTCGGCTCCACTGAAGTCCCCAGGGGCGGGGATCGGTCCCCACAGTGGAGTTAAAATTTATCAAATTAAAATGGAGACATTTAAGCCAAGAGTGATGAGAATAGCACCTGTTAATCAACACACAGACAGCGCTTGCAGATTGCTAACAGGGCTCTTTCTTAGGTAATTATTAGAGCTTTAATCAGCAGATACATAATTTGTGGGCAGTCACTGTCTGAGGCTAGGTAGGCTGCCCGGCCTGCCCACGTGATCCACAGACATACATTGTAAAAGGCTTCTCTCTGCCTCTCAGATAGAGAAATCAAGCGTCTCCATGCCGCCTCACTCCCTAGCCGCTGAGATAATCGATCACCTAGTATACCTCCATTAAGGTTGTTGCCTCATGTCCACAGGTAGTAATGATATATTTTATAGACTGTCTATCTCCCAGCTCTGTTCGATCTACGCTACGCGTTTGATCAGAAGTTCAGAACGGAGAAGGACGTAAGTAATTAGATTAGATTAGATTACCGTTGGTTTGAGACGAGCTGACGGTCATTCAGCATATATTGCATACCTACGAGGTAGGTATACTATATTAGTATATTGTTTGCGTCTATAAGATTTTTTTTCTCTCTTCTTTCTTTTTTCTTTTTCTTCTTCTTCTTGTTCAGTTTTAGTGACATGTATTTATTTGGATATTATTATTTTTTTTTGAAAGGAAGCTCCAAATTACACTGCTTCATTCGCATACGTACTATAATTTAAAACAGACTAGCTGCAGCAAGACAGAACCTCCCATACATGATAATATCATCCTAATCCACAGAGCTATAAGTCAATTCTTCTCCGCCGGATACAGCCGTACATGAACCCCTCTCCCCGGCGTGCCCACAATCTCCGCCTTGTGGAACTGCTGCTCCCAGTCACCGGCATACTCGATGCGCTCGTACCGCTGGAAAATCCGCACAATCGCGTACGACATCTCCGCGAGCGCAAAGTTCTGCCCGATGCAGATGCGCGGCCCCCCGTTGAACGGGATGTACTGCCACGGCTTGGGCTGCCACAGCTCCCACCGCTCCGGAGAGAAGATGGCCGGGTCCGCGAAGTGCTCCGACGGCGGCGGGTAGAGGTCGCGCCGGCGCTGCATCGCCAGCGTCGAGTAGATCACCGCGTCGCCTTTCAGCACCGGCAGCGGCTGATCCCCGTTCGGTCCGCCGCCCGTCGGCAGGAACGTGTCGGCCAGCGCGAACCGGATGTTGAACGGTACCGCCGGGTACAGTCGCAGTGTCTCGTTGATGGTGTGCTTCAGGTAGGTCATGTTCTTCAGGTCGTCGTATGTCGGGGCTCGTGTGGGCCCGACTGTGGCCAGGATCTCCTGGCGCAGCTTCGCCACGACCTCCGGATAGTGAGACAGCTCGTAAAAGGCCCATGACAGCGTCGCCGCCGTCGTGTCGCGCCCGGCCAGCAGCACGGAGACGACCTGGTCCCGGATAACTTTCGGGTCGCGCGTGAAGCTGGCCAGGGAATGCAGGAACGTGAACGATTTCTCGGACTTGCTGCGCTTCTCGAGTTCTTCGGGCGGTAGCGCCAGCGCCTGGTGGACGAACGGCACGACAAAGTCGTCGATGGTCTTGATGCCACGGTAGTAGGCCCCTCGGGGGACAAACCAGTGGATCGGCCTATAGATCTCAGTACCAGCTTTTTTCAAAGAGCGACATGTGTATGCGCGCTTACTGCAGCACCGTCAACATCATCTGGATGCGCTGGACGTCCGAAAACGCCTTGACAAACTCCGCCTGGGGGTTCTCCAGACTGTTGATGCCGTGACCGAGCAGAAACTCGGTCGTCACGTCCAGCGTCATGCGATAGAACAGGTCCATGATGTCAAAGGCCTCACCAGGACCGCCGAACAGGCTCATCATCACCTGGGTGCGCCGCTCAAAGATCTCCAGATCGCTGATGCGGTCCTTGACGAACATGGGCCGGATCAGATGCCGGCTGTTGGACCACTGCTGGCCATCGGTTGTGAAGATGCTGTCGCCCAGGAAAGGACTCCACAGCTCGTGGAACTGCTGGCCTTTGCCAAAGTCGGCAAAGTTGCCCGTCAGCACGGCCTTGATGTGCTCGGGCTCCCGCGTGAGGAAGTAGCGCACGCGGCCGGTGAAGTTGTTCTCGACGCAGTTGGGGCAGGCTGGCGTGGCGTAGCGAAAGATGTTGTTGAAGTAGTCGAGCAGGCGGTTCTCGCTGTGGGCATTGGCGGCGCCCAAGAGGAATTTCAGGTCTGCAGTCCATCCAGTCAGTCAGTGCCATTTCGTCAAGAGGACATTAACGGATCATCACCTCTGATCGGAATAATCGGCCCACTGGGCATCCGAGGTGCATGGATCCCTCCGTGGTATTTTCTGAGTTTGTGGTTGTACCAGATGAGACTGAGGCCTCGTCCCACGACGACGACCAGCAGCAGGCCCGCCGTCAGATAGACGGGAGCCAGCAAGAAGACGGCCATGTTAACAGCCATTTCGTCCGTATGTCATGTCACAGCATCAAGCAGCCTGCAAGCAGCCCTGATAAGGTCGACCGTGGCAGATCCAGTGGAACTGACATGGGTTGATAAACGAACATGCCAGCGACGATCAGCCATGTGAAAGTCGCCAAACCGAGGTCGTGGACGGGCCCATGTTTGGCTCTGCAGGTCGTCAGAATATAGCCTGTGGTTGCTTGATAATCGATTGCTGTAATTAGGGCGAAGTACACTCCACCCCCGCACTCGGATAAAGCCTAAAAGAGCCGGCGTGGTGGACTGGATCAATCAGCGAGGATGTTTGCACGTCTAAACTGTTTCTGGGAACCAACTAGCTGGCTGGCGTTAGTTAAGAGGTTTGTTAGATGCTGATCTTCGTTATTATTAATAGTTTGTAGTGGGACAGTGTCGCTGTTCCCACCAGTCGGTATTCCAGTGATATCATAGCAAAATCAAACACAGCAAAGGGGGAAATAAAAGCTATTATAAATTAAATAGACTAAATGTTAAATCCAAATTAAATGAAAGACAGTCTATATTCTCCTCTATGGCCTGCATCATCCAATGACGTCGCTGTTTTAGAATATCAACAGTTCGCACGAAATTGGACACCGAATGTAGGTTAAAAGGAAATTTCTAAAAGGAGATCTCCAGCTTAAAAGGAAATTTTCGACCCCACCATGCAGGGCACTAGACTCCCGGGCAGATGTCTCTCGATCGCAAATTTAGCTCGCCAGCCCGTGCAGTGCCCCGGCAGCAGGACCGCCGGGTCGAGGCGCTTGAGATCACGAACGGTGCTCTCGACCTGGGCGTCGTCGCTTGTGGCGAGGTGATAGCCCCCGACAATCGCATGAAACGGAACGGAATCGCCTAGTAGGCTACTGGCGTGTCTGGCAGCATTGACGACGCCGGCGTGGCTGCAACCGGTGAACATGACGATGCCTTTGCCTGGTGCCTGTTACTCATCACTGCACTGCACCGCACGAGAAAAACATTATGTATGTACTGTACATACCTTTCACATTACACATGAGGAATCGCTCATCGGCGATCTTCTCATCAGAAAACCACTCCCCCTCCTCCCGATCATACCGCATCCCGTTCCGCAACCCGGTCTCGTACGAAGTCCGACGGGGGATCTCGTCAGAGATGAGGAACATGTCATCCAGGATCGTATGCACTTCGCTATCCCGGTGAACCGTCGCCCCGGCTTCTTCAATCTCCTCGAACGTGGGATCCGCTTCTAGAGAGACGATCTTGTCGCCCAGCGCGAATCCGCGATAATCCGGCCGGGACGGGTGCACGTCCACGACCAGACTGGTGTCTGCAAGGCCTTGGGCTTTCTTGGCCTCTTTGATCATTCGGATGGCTTTGAGCATGCCCCCTGTAGCGAGTCAGAGCGACGTCCCAGATGGAAAAGATTGAAACAGGGCTACTCGCCAGAATGGTCACGATGCCAATGAGACAGTTGGATCACCTCCACAGCGGAGATGTCCGCCTGCAGCCGGGTGACGTTTTTCTCCCAGGCCTGTTCCTCAGGGCCGGTGTCGAAGAGGACGGTACGCTTGACGTTCCCTTTAGTGGCGGTCTGGCACGTCAGCCCGGCACAGTAATTATAAGCAGAAGTATAGTCTACAGAACTTGTTTAAGCAATTCAAGGTAGAATGACTTCGCCTACCACCATAATCGACAAGCCATGCGCCGAACAGCACAGATTGTCCATGCGCAACTCCACCGCCGCATCCCCGCGCTCGCCAGGCGGCAGCTTGGGGGCCGTCGTCATGGCGATCTGCGCGATGGAGCCTCCAGTAAAGTGGACCGTGTCCGGGGGAGCCGGCGAGATGGGGTCGAGTTCATTGTCGATGATGACGAGGGCCTCGAGGGAGTCGATCTCGACGAGAGATGACGCTGGCGGCATGCCGTGTAGACGATCCGCGTGGATTGAGTTCCGATCAGCGTGGATCAGCGTGTACCAGCGTGGTAGAATTGTAGAATCTCTCTAAAAGGGTTTGTATATTAACAGAAGTTCGACTCTTAGTTCGTCTCGTAGGTTTGGCATAAAAAGCAAGGACGACATGCGGTGATTCGGGTCTGTCTAGAAACAAATATTTCGAGGTTGTTCCGGTCCACGATGACCTCAGACTAGAAATTCCAGTCTGTTGCTCACCCCGATTTTATGTGTATTTTCGACGACTTTACTTCACCAGCTTATGGGCTTGATACGATTAGCAAGGTGAAAATATATTTTGGATAGATAAGCGTATCGTCATTCGTCTACTGCGGACTGGTTCTGATCACGCAACTCTTTCCTTCTCTCTTTTTTTTTAACTTACTTATTTCCTTTACTTATTCTTATTCCTTCTCTCCTTTTTTCTATCCTTTTCAATTGATCGACTGTCGGGTGAGGTCGCGAAATTCCGGCGGGGCAGCGAAGCAGACGAGCAGCAACCCAGCAATCCAGCAACAATTCCAGGGTAATCAAATGGAAGAAAAAAAGTAGAAAAGAAATCAATAGAATAAAACGAACTGAGACAGAAATGATTATCGAAGTGATTAATGCTGCAAGTCACGCCGCGTCGAGCCCGTCGGAGAGCGACCCGCAATGACGGAATCGGAGAGCCCAACGCGGAGAATTCCCTCCGCTCGCCGTCGACTCGATTGTCGTCAAGATTTCTCCCTCCATGGCCTCGACACGGCCTCCTGCTCGTCTCCCGGGTCCTTGAAGACCCTCATCTCTACTTTTTTCCGTCGACCGATTCAGCGATATGGCGTCGCTCGTGTCATCGCGATGGCGATGCGCCCGCTGCCTGTGGCAATCGCCCCTCCGCGTCCTCCCTCGCACTCCTCACGGCCCTGCTGTCGTCCGGCCCTCTCCTCGCAGATACGTCCATCCTCAGGAGTTTAAACCCTTCGTGCCGCCGTCGCCCAGCGACTTGGGCAAGGCAGCCCCGGCCAAGACCTACCGCCGCACCCGCAAGTGGCTGCGCCGTCTCTTCTACCTGTCCCTGGCCACGGGCGCCATCTATGTTGTCGACACGCAGTTCTACGCCTCGTCGCTGACGCGAACGGCTCGCACGTTCGGGCTGGGTCTGCTCGTCGCCCTCGACTACAAGATCAATTTCCGGCCCAACCCGCCGCTGGCCACGTCCATCACGGCCCTCCACGCCCGCAATGCGGAGCGGCTCTCCGAGCTGCTGCGGCAGAATGGGGGTCTGTACCTGAAGATCGGCCAGGCCATCGCCATGCAGTCGGCCATCCTGCCGGTGGAGTTCCAGCGGATGTTCTCGCGCATGTTCGACGATGCGCCGCAGAACGACTGGAAGGACGTCGAGAAGGTCATCCAGGAGGACTTCGGCAAATCGGTGGAGGAGGTCTTTGGCGTCTCCTTCAGCGGCGATCCTACCAAGGGCGTCATGGAGAGGAGGGCTAGGGCCAGTGCCAGCGTGGCCCAGGTCCATTGGGCCCGGCTGGCCGACGGTCGGGAGGTGGCCATCAAGATTCAGAAGCGAGAGATTGCGCAGCAGGTCAAATGGGATCTATGGGCATTCAAGTAGGCCAGAATTGTTTCTCCTGCATCGCGTGACAGTGACTGACGAGAACAGGGTGGTAGCATGGATCTACAGCAAAGTCTTTGACCTCCCCTTCTACAACCTGGTCCCTTTTGTCAGCGAGCGCCTCTTACTCGAGACTGATTTTGAAAACGAAGCAAACAACGCAGAACGCATGGCCGCCCTGGTGGCGAACGAGCCGCGACTGCGAGACCGAGTCTATATTCCCAAGGTGTATCGCGAACTGAGCTCGAAGCGCGTCATGACGGCGGAGTGGATTGAAGGCGTGCGGCTGTGGGATAAGGACGCCATCACGCGGCCGTGGCGAGGCGCCTGGCGTGAAGGCAGTCCCGGCTCACATGGGACGCCTCTGGACCCTCCGGGGACGAAACTCGAAGATCTGTCCAAGAAGGCGAATTTGGTGCGCATCAAGCCGGAGCGCAACCACTGGCGAGGATGGAAGAACCGGGGCGGGTTGGGCCTGTCGCTCAAGGACGTCATGACGACGATGGTTGATCTCTTTTCGGCGCAGATGTTCCTCTGGGGATGGGTGCATTGCGACCCCCATCCGGGCAACATCTTCGTGCGACGGCAGCCGTCCGGCAAGCCGGAGATTGTCCTCATCGACCACGGGCTGTACATCCAGATGGACCCGCACTTCCGGCATCAGTACGCGCGGTTCTGGAAGGCGCTGCTGACGCTGGACAACCGCACGCTGGAAGACATCGTCAGCCAGTGGGGGGTCAGCAACCCGGATATCTTCGCGTCGGCGACGCTGATGCGGCCGTACCGGGGCGGCAACCTGTCGACGAGCCGGAGTCTGGAGGGGCTGAGCAAGAAGGAGAAGCAGGAGCGGATCTACGAGATGCAGCAGGCGGCGCGGAAGGGGATCCGCGAGATCCTGGGGGACGAGACCAAGTGGCCGCGCGAGCTGATCTTCATCGGGCGGAACCTGCGCATCGTGCAGGCGAACAACCAGTTCCTGGGGTCGCCGGTCAACCGGGTCAAGATTACGGGCCTGTGGGCGTCGCGGGCGCTGGTCGAGTCGCCGGATCTGCCGTTGATGGAGAAGATGCGCAACTACGGGCGGCATCTCGTGTTCCGGCTGGTGCTGTTTACGTCGGATGTCGTCTTTTATCTCAGCAAGATCCGGCAGTTCCTGGGCTGGGGAGGCGGCATGGAGGAGGACATTGAGCGGCAGATGAAAGCGGTGGCGCGGGATATGGGGGTGGAACTGCATCAGAATATTTTCGAGGGGTGATTACAGATTCTCCTCTCAGAAATCTCCTATATTTCCTTCTGATCTGTATTAATGGGATGGTCTAGGGTAGAGTCACTACGCGCATACAAGCATTGTATTATAATTGCTGAGTATATGAGTGTGCAGGGTATAGAACACTAAACAATCAATCCATGGAATAGAATCTCTCTCATAGTAATCGCATTGCTCTGACACTAACTAGCTAGGTAGATAACAGATGAACATCTCATTATAATGACGCAACTCCACCAGAAGCATGATATCGTCTGACAATCGTTTTCATTGACAACGACATACCTCACATAAGCATATTTTCTAAGCAGTGTTTAACTATTAGTTTCTATTTGAACTAAGCAACAGTCTATCTATAGTATACGATGAGACGGTTAGCGGGGCGCCGGAAACGGCCGCCATTGCACGGTCCATCTGCCATCCCTCACCGCCTGCCCCCGAGGGTGATCTGATTGCCCGATCCGGCTTAGACAGGGCCGATGTGACCTGTTTGGGGCATAGCGCCGGCCCTGGCCGCTTTTGCCCGCTCCTGCGGAGCCCGCCCATCTATATAAACCCCAGGTGCGTCCCTCGACGGCCGACGCCCTCCATCTTCTCTCTTCTTCCCACTGTCTCCCGGCCTGACGGTCGATGCCGTGCGATCCGATGAGTCCCCTTGCCAAGCGTACCCCCTGCACCTCCGGAGTCGCCGACGGCCAGCTGAGTCGCTTCCCCTGCTGGGCGATTTTGTGGTTGGATTGTTGAACGCCGCAGACCAACTTTTAGGCCCCTTTCCCTTGCGTTTCGCACCAATCTGGAGTTGGGTCAATCCGCTTGTCATTCTCTTGTCGTGGGAACCGTTCCCATCTCCCCCCCCCCTTCCCCCCGACCGGTCAAACCGGATTGATCGCATGAACCATTGTCTATTTTCTATGAATGCTCTTCTCGTCACTCTACGATGCCTTCGCTCCTCGCTCCTCGCTCCTCATCTCCCGTCTCTGGCACGTCGGTTCTTTTCGAATGGCCTCTTTCCGTAAAGATGGCGGAGTCAGGCAACCTGCTAGGCTAGAGAACCAAGGCTCCACCATCGCGACTGGTTCAACCGGGGGCCATCTGATCTCCTGACCTTGTGAAATCACTGACACAGCCTCTCTACACGTCCAAGTGGCTTCCCATTCGAATATCCGTGGATGTGACGGCCAATAGCAAAAATGCCGCACGCATTGTTGGTTCGGTTCTCCTACAAATGCGTCTCTGCTCGATGTTACAGTGACCCTTAGAGATCGGACGGCTGGCTCACCTTTATGGTTCCAACACCCTTGCTCGGTTAGTCGATTTTCGCTTTCATCGGACTCTTTCCTTTGATCCGATTTGCTATGTTCTCGTGTCTGGAGAGTAACCGGGGGTTTTCGCGATTTGCTGCTATGGTCCGGGTTCGTTGTGCACGCGTGAGACAGCCCGTCTTCGTTTCTTGATCACGGTGGACACGTCAGCAGGACCGAAAATTGGGCGGCTGCCGCGGGATGGACCCAGCATCATCCCTGCCTTCCGCTGCGAACGGATTTGGGAGGAGGGAGACGGGGAAAGGATGCCGTTTTCGTCGGGAACGTGAGGATGTGAGAAGTAGGGAGATATTGCTCTTCAGCCAGCGGTGTGATGCCTGGCATCTTCGTCTTAAAAGGATGGCCGAG